ACATCTCTTACATCTACCTGCATTGGCAGGCGGGTTCTTTACTACTTGAGCCACAGAGGAAATCTATGTGGGTGATGAAGAAAGAATGAACTCAAGGATAACTCCCCAGTATCAGCTATCCCCTAACCTCTGCCAGGGCACTTGCAAGGTTATAACCCTGCTTTAATTTTCCTTGTAATACATCACTGAATTGACCTGGTTTGTTTATCTCAAAATGTATAGCCCGTAGTCGCAGGAAATTTTCATGTTCACTGTTGAGTCCCCAGTACCTAGAACAGTGCCTGGCACACAGTGCTCAATGCCTACTGAATGGAGGGATGAATGAATGAAAGCTTGAGTGACTAAGCAGCCTCTCAGAGGTGAGGCTTATATACGGGGTAACTAGATAGTGGTACTTTGAGCTTCAAAAAGCTGACTGAATAGAAAAAAGAAAGAAAAAGCAGACGAAATAGGTGTCAGTAAAGGGTAATGAGACTTGGGGAGGCAGCTGGGGAATTCAGAGTCAGCATCAAGGGTTCCCACATTCTCCAAGAGTGTGTTGGGTGAGAAGGGATGGGAGAGAGCTGTGTCGGCTGGTGCCACATCCCCACTTCAGGTCCGTGAGGACCTGGCCCCAAACGGTCAAAACCTCCTGCCAGGGTCTTGCTCCAGAGAGACTCCTCTATCCTCAGCCCGTCAGAACAAGCGATCGAGCCCTTTCTGCCCCTTTCTCTGCTGTCCTGATCTCCCGGAGCCCCTTCCCCACTGTAGGAAGCTCTCCAGAGTCCTGTGCACAGTCCCCTTGGCCAGTGGGGTTCCAGATATTTACCAGGAGTGACCACACAGACATGGAGTTAGTCATTCTCTGGGAAGGGCAGCAGCTCACAGAACCGCAGGAGCTTCCAGCCTCTTCCAGGGACTGGCTGGTTGGAGGGAAGGCCATGTAGCCCTATGAGGTGGATGGTAGCCCGGGACTGGGCAGGGTGACCCCACAGTCAACTCCCTCTCTGCTTAGGATGCAGCTGAGGCTGGAGCCAGGTCTGGTTATCGGGGTCGCCGCTCGCCACACACCCCCCACGAACGCTTTGAGGGGCTCACAGTGCTCAAGGCCGCCCAGGTGAGAGGAGACACAGAGCTGGAGAAGAGGGCCGGCCTCTCCTGCCTGTGGAGGGCTCTCCTGGGACTCAGAGGAGTTCTCGGCCCAGGACTGATGGAGGGGGTTCCCCACAGAGGGACCCGGGTTGTTGTCCCAGAGACAGTGGAAAGAGCGGTCTGGGCTGATGGGTGGGTTGATGGGGCAGCTGGCTATTGAGTCCCAAACCATGGGTGGAGGGCAGTGGAGGTGGGGTAGGGGCTGGGACCAGCCTTACCACACCTCCCCTTCCCCACCCTTTATTCCCTGCCGCAGCTGGCCCGGGCTGGGGCGGTGGGCAGTCAGGGTGCCCAGCTGCTCCTGGAGGTGAGCGAGCGGGTGCGGAGCCTAACCCAGGCCTACTTCTCCCCCGACCGGCCCCTGCACCTCTCCTTCACCCACCTGGTGTGCCGGAGCGCCATAGAAGGTAACCGCCAGGCCCCCCCCAATCTCAGGGCCCCTCGGGGCCCTGCACACCCTCAGCACCCCCGCTATGGGTTTCCATCTTCACTGCAGGAGGACTGACTCCCCTGCCCAGCGGGGGCTCAGCTGTGACCCTGGATCTACAGGGTGGGTGTGGGTGGGCGCCCACCAGGCCCTTGGCTTCCCAGGGGAGCAGGCACAGCGCATGGACCTGAGCCACCCAGTGCACGCCGACAACTGTGTCCTGGATCCCGACACCGGGGAATGCTGGCGGGAACCCCCAGCCTACACCTACCGAGACTACAGGTGGGCGGCCCTCCAGGGGTCGGGTGGGGCGCCTGGCTGGGGTCTCACTTCCTCCTGTCTTCCTCTCTCCCCAGTGGACTCCTCTACCTCAACGATGACTTCCAGGGCGGGGATCTGTTCTTCACAGAGCCCAACGCCCTCACAGTCACGGTAACTGGAGCGGGTGGGGTGGGGGGCCCAGTAGGGAGCCCAGCCATAGGCTGAGGATTCAAAACAGAGGGTGCCCAGAGGCAAATGCAAGGAAATGGTTGGGGCCACCTTTGTTGTTGTTGTTTAGTCGCTATGTTGTGTCCGACTCTTTGTGACCCCAAGGACTGCAGCAGACCAGGTTTCCCTGTCCTCCACTACCTCCTGGGATTTGCTTAAACTTACGTTCATTGAGTCAACCCTCTCCTTTCTGGCTTCCACAGCACCTCCCCACTCTTGTCTGTTCAGGGGCTCTCCTAGCCCCTCCCAGGAGACCTCCAAGGGGCCCTTCCAGGCCCTGCCTTCAGTGATCACCTCACTTCTTATAGGAGGGCAGGTGAGGGACTTCCCTGGTTGGTCTTGTGGCTGAGACTCTGTGCTCCCAATGCAGGAGGCCCAGGTTTGATCCCTGGTTGGGGAACTAGATTCTGCATGCTGCAACTGAAAAATCCCATGTGCTGTTACTAAAACCCGGTACAGCCAAATAAATCAATAATAAATAAAATAGATATTTTAAAAACTCAAAAATAAATAAATAAAGGAGGGTGACTGAAGCACAGGACCCCAAGCCTCTACTCCAGGTAGAAGCTCAGGTCTAGGACCAGCAGAAGGACTGGAGCAGTGATTTTTCATTGTGCATTGCTCTGCCTTATCCAGTTAGCTCCTTCTCTGCTCACCACCAGCAGCTCTCTGTCATCCAAGCCCTCTCTGGGGTGGAAAATGTCCCCAAGACCCTGATGCCCAGAACCCAGAATCTGGTTGGGCAGAGGGTGAGCAGGAGAAGCGGGGCACGGGGGCGGATAGAGTCTCTTCTCCTTTTGGCTCCAACTCTCCAGCCTCCAGTCTGGCATTCGGTGCTCCCAAGTGGAGGCCTGGTTCCCACTTGCCCCAAGATCGTCCCTGAACTAAGGAGGGGACGGGGTAGGCGAGAGAGCTGCCCTGGTCTGAGCCCCCTCCTGGTCCTGCTCCAGGGAGTCAGGGTCAAGGTCTCTGAAGCCCTGTCCCTGGAGCTGAATCTGCCATCCGCCCCCTCACCCCAGGCACAGGTTCGTCCTCGCTGCGGCCGCCTCGTGGCCTTCAGCTCGGGCGTGGAGAATCCCCACGGCGTGTGGGCCGTGACACGGGGGCGGCGCTGTGCCCTGGCGCTGTGGCACACCTGGGCCCCTGAGCACCGGGAGCAGGTGAGGAGGCGAGCAGGTGGCGGGGCGGGGCCGGGTGAGGGGCGGGCACGCTGGCGGGCGAGGGGCGGGGCTGAGATGACCCGGGAGAGTCCCGGGGCAGGGCGCATGCTGGGGGTGCGGGCGGTCAGCCTCGACCCTCCTCCTCACCCCCCAGGAATGGACAGAAGCCAAAGAGCTGCTGCGGGGGCCGGAGAAGGATGAAGAAGACGTGGCCAGCAGGGACCCCGGACCAGAACCCCCCAATCGCAGGCTTCCGCGGCTCCAGGACAAGGCTGGGAAGCCGCCTCGCATTCGAGAGGAGTTGTGAGGGGGCCGGCCCAGCTCCTCGGGGATATGGCCACTTGACTTGTGGAGGGTCTGCCTTGATGCCGGGGACCCCCGGGAAGCCCCCATGTGACCGCCGCAGAACAGCGAGCTCTCGGTCCCTGTACCCTGCCATCTTGGGGATCACCAGGGCCCTGCAACCCTGGACTCGGAGGACCCTGCACAGACTTAGCCTGGGGACTGGCCTGGGCCCAGCCAGGATGGACCTCCAGGCCTAGGACAGACAGAAGACGGGCAAGGCCAAAGTGGAAAGAACTGGCAGGGGGTAGGGCCCCAGCAGGCGCTGTAAATGAGGAAGATGAGAGGGAGGGTCGCCCCCCCGCCCTCCCCAGCCTGTCAATAAAGATCCTGACCATCCCTCAGCTGGGGCCAGTCAAGTGTATCGTGGTTTCCATGGTGGCCGGAGGTGGGAGAGGCTGTGGCTGGCCTGGGAGGAGACAGGTATCCTGGGCCTCCCAGAGATGGGCCCCTCCAACTCCTGATTTGTCAGGGAAATCTCAACCACCTGCCTCCCTCATGCAAATGAACCCTGGCCCCTGACAGCTGCTCCCTGGGCCTCTTACTCTAAGCCAGCGTCTTCCCTCTCTGAGCTTGGCTGAGACTTAGGGCTGCCTGATCCCTCTGCTTCTTGCCTTCACGGCCCCAGCAGAGCCCGGCGAGTTATGAGGGCCCAACACCAGATGCAAGCAGCGGATGGGCTTGTTCTCCACTTCCATCCTCTCTGCACCCAAAGCTGGGCCAGGCCCGTCCATCCTCCTCTTTGGATCTCCTGGACCTCCTCCCAACCCCCCAGGATCAGCCCCCGGGGGCAGCTGGTTGGGGTTTGTCCTGGAGAAGGATTATCCAGATCAGTGCCTTCTAATCTCAGCTCCTGCCTGTACCTCCCGTGGTCTCCATAACCCTCTCCCCCACCACCCTGAGCTCGGGAGCACAACTCGGGGTATTGACAACGGGCCATCTCTCCCACTCGCTCTCTGGCTCCAGGGCTAGTTGCTAGGTAGTCCCTGACAGCCAAGATCATCACCATGGGATGGGGGGCCAGGCCTGGGGGGACCCTGGAGCGTGGTTGGGCTGCTCCTTTGCACCCTCCCAGACCCAACCCTTAATCCTCACAGCTTTGCTCTAATCCCGTGGGGCCTGATGCTCTGCTCTCTGCCTAGAGAGGGACTGGCCAGGGAAGCAGCCCACCCCTCCTCCCTCCAGGGCTTGTTGCAGGTGCGGGGGGCGGGGGGCACTGTGCCCCGCTGTAGCCCCACACTCCTGCTCCCACCCTCCCTGGGCTGGGCCTAGGTCCCTCTACAAGCTGCACACCTCCCTCCCCGTCCTCTGCTTCCCCCACAACCCGCCAGCTGATTTCATTTGCCTGACAGTCGTCATTGGCCCTACCCTTCGCTGTCTGCACCCCCCCCCGCACCCCCCCAGGCGGGGCCAGGCCAGGCCATCTCCTCTGGCAGCAGAGCCGGGGCAGGTGACGGGCGGGTGTCGCGGCTGAGGGAGCCAGGAGGCGCCTGGGGACCAGAGCTGGAAGCCTAAAGTCAGAGCCCAAGTAAGAGGGGCTGGCCTGGCTCTGCCCTCTGGGGCTGGGGGCTGCGGGGGGCGCGGGGGTGGCCCGGGACTCCAGATGTGGAGGGGCTGGCAGGGGAGGCAGTGCAGACCACCCAGTCCTGGCCCGATGTGGGGAGGGGGCTCCAGGCCCCCATGGTGTGGGATGTGAGGAACAGAAATACGGGGGTCCCCCTACACACACCCTGTGTCCCCAGCAGGAGACTAAAGAGCCACCCCTTAAGCCGTCCACCATGGGGGAGATGGAGCAGTTGCGGCAGGAAGCGGAGCAGCTCAAGAAGCAGATCGCAGTAACCCCAGAACCCTTCCTCCCACCAGGGGACACGGGAAAACCAAGAACAGGGCCCATGCGGGAGTGTGGCCCCCAGGGGAAGGGCTGGCTTCACGCTGACTGACATTTCAGAGACCCCTGACCTAGAAGCGGCCAGAGACTTCCTGAACTTGGAGCTCGTATTTGAGCTGTGCCCCACCCCACCCCTCAAAACCCTAGAGCCCCAAACCCACCCACCTAGACACCTGCACACACACCCTGCCCCTACCCACACCCGTGTCTGCTTTCCCCCCCAGGATGCCAGGAAAGCCTGTGCTGACACTACCCTGGGAGAGGTGAGCCCCCGCCATCCCCCGACAGGGCCAGAAGGGAGGGATGGAGGAGAGGGGATGGCGTGGGAGCCCCCTGACCAGCCACAGCCTGGCGCCCAATCTCCAGTACAGCGTGTCCTTGGAATGAGGAACGACATGAATTAATTCAGTCAACATTTTGTGAGGTCTGCTATGGGCCAGGCACCTAGTCAGAGACTAGGGAGGCAGACGCTGTCCTCATCCACAAAACAAGAGCGCCAAACCCTCCTGGCTGACTGGCCAGGATGAAGAGGACTAGGGCTGTTAAACCAGAAGCCCTTGGAGACTAGTTGTTGTTGAGTTGCTCAATCCTGTTCTGAATCTTTTTCGACCCCAAGGACTGTAGCCTGCCAGGCTCCTCTGTCCATGGGACTCTCCAGGCAAGAATACTGGAGTAGGTTGCCATTTCCTTCTCCAGGGGATCTTCCCAATCCAGGGATTGAACCTGCATCTCCTCTGTGTGCAGGTGGATTATTTACCACTGAGCCACCTGGAAAGCCCAGACAAGACTCTAATTACAAGCTGGCTGATACTGTACTTTTTCAGTCCTGGATGCATTTTGTTTCATATTGTGACATCCTGGAAATTGAGATGCATCCAACAATGATGCCTTACAGTTAAAATCAGCAGTACTTTTTCTTTCTTAGTGATTCATAAAAGAATGGTGCTTCTTGGAGCCAGTGCCATCTTAGATTGAATTAAATGTTAATAATAAGAGTAAACATTTACTGAACATGAGCCAGGCACTGGGTTGCTTAAATACAAAATTTCATTTAATTTTCCTGACAACTCCATAAGTCTGGTGCTAAAAACTTCATTTTACAATGGAAAAGGGGGCTCAGAGAGGTTAAATAATTTGCCTGAGATAACAAAGCAAATAAATGGCAAGTCAGGTCTTTTGACTCTGGAGCCCCAGTCTAATGTCTAGAAGGTCAAAGGAGTCTCAGGGGCATAGGACCCCAAGTTTCAGGAGGAGGCCGTTCAGTGCCATGGCGCTGTTCTGGATACCCACTTAGCGCTGGCCGAGCAGCAGCGGTGGGTGAGGGCAGGCTCCTAGTGGCTGGGTTCAACCAAACGTGCATATTGTCCCAAGTCCATGTGTAGTGGACTCACATTGACAGCTTGAATTGGTCAAGGTGGGGGTGTTTACATGATGGAACCCCCCTTCCCCTTCACCTCGACCCCTGGCCTACATAGGAGAGGTGGTGGTTAAACCCTTAGCCATGTACCCTGGCCTTGCCCATGTCTCTCTCTACACCCATCTAAGCCATGCCTGGGCTGACTTCTCAGCCCTCAGTAGGGCTGGAGGCCCGACTTCGAGCTGGGCATGCTACAGAAGCTCACACACAATCCTGGCTCAGATGCTGACGTGTAGGCATGCACCCTGCTCACCCTGATTTATTTTTATCTGTGCTGTGTGATGTGTAGGATCCTAGTTCCCCAACCAGAGATTGAACCCATGGTGCCTGCATTTGGAGCAGAGAGTCCTAACCACGCACAGGGAGGTCCGCTCCCCCTGCCTTCTGACACCCCCTTTCAGAGCTTCCCTGGTGGCTCAGATGGTAAAGAATCCCCCTGCGATGCAGGAGACATGGATTCAATTCCTGTGTGGGGAAGATCCCTTGGAGAAGGGTATGGCAGCCCACTCCAGTATTCTTGCCTGGAGAATTTCATGGACAGAGGAGCCTGGTGGGGTACAGTCCATGGGGTCGCAAACAGTTGAACACAACTGAGCTAACTAACTTCCTGCAGCTGGTGTCCAGCCTCGAAGTCGTGGGACGTGTGCAGATGCGGACACGGCGGACCTTACGGGGACACCTGGCCAAGATCTACGCCATGCACTGGGCCACCGACTCTAAGTGAGGCTTAAGAGGCCTGGACCGGGGGCCGGGGGCGTTAGAGGGAGACAGGCAGGAAAGGAGGGTTGGGTGACATGTGTGTCTTCTTCTCTCCCCAGGCTGTTGGTAAGCGCCTCGCAAGATGGAAAACTGATTGTGTGGGACACATACACCACCAACAAGGTACCAGCCCAGCCTCTCGGCCCCACCGGGGGCATCCCACGCCCTTCTTGTGCCCCCCACCTGGGAGCTCAGCCCAGGCCCCTGCCACCCCACCCCTGCAGGTCCACGCCATCCCGCTGCGCTCCTCCTGGGTCATGACCTGTGCCTACGCCCCATCAGGGAACTTCGTGGCCTGTGGGGGGCTGGACAACATGTGTTCCATCTACAGCCTCAAATCCCGGGAGGGCAACGTCAAGGTCAGCCGGGAGCTGTCGGCTCACACAGGTGAGTGAGAGGCCAAGGGTACCTGCGGGTTGTGCCCGGCAGCCAGGGCCCTGTCCTAACCGCCCCCAACCCCCGACCCAGGTTATCTCTCCTGCTGCCGTTTCCTGGACGACAACAACATCGTGACCAGCTCCGGGGACACCACATGGTGAGGCCCAGGCGCCCGTGGGTGCGATGGCCGGGGAGGCGCCTCTCTGCCGGCCTCGCTGGGTGACAGCGTGTCCCCCCACCCCGCAGTGCCCTGTGGGACATCGAGACTGGGCAGCAGAAGACTGTGTTTGTGGGGCACACGGGGGACTGCATGAGCCTGGCTGTGTCCCCTGACTTCAGACTCTTCATCTCGGGGGCCTGCGATGCCAGCGCCAAGCTTTGGGACGTGCGGGAGGGGACCTGCCGGCAGACTTTCACTGGCCATGAGTCGGACATCAATGCCATCTGCGTGAGCCCCCTCTGAGCTTCAGTGCCCTCTGGGGACCCCCTCCCCACCCCCACCCCCCACTCAGCCTTTGTCCCCTCCCACGGCCCCCTGCCCCTTTCCTTTTGACTTTTCACTTTGAAATAATTTCACTCCCAGAAAAGTTGCAAGAATAACAGAAACGGTTCTCATCTGCCCTTCACCCATAGTCACTGTCACCTTTTTGCCACATATGCTTTATGGTTCCCTCTCTGTAGGGGAAGGGAGGGAGGGATGGACAGACACACAGACACATACCCACCTAGATGTAGGTATAGATACACTTGGTTATTAATTTTTTCCCTGGGTTCTTTGACAATAAGTTGCAGACCTCATGCCCCTTTAGCCCTTCAATCCTTCAGTGTATTGGAGAAGGAAATGGCAATCCCCTCCAGTATTCTTGCCTGGAGAATCTCATGGACAGAGGAGCCTGGTTGTTTTTGGTCCCTTGGGTTGCAAAGTGTTGGACATTACTGAAGTGACTTAGCACATATACACTTCAATATATACTTCCTAAAATCAAGGCCATTCTCTTCCATAGTCACAGTCTAATTCTTTTTTTATAAATTTCTATTATTATGTTGTGATTTTTATTTTATTGCCACACGACTTGCAGGATCTTAGTTCCCCTGTGCCCCCTGCAGTGGAAGAACAGAGTCCTAACACCCAGACCACTAGGGAATTCCTGGCAGTCTAATTCCTTAAAATCAGGAAGTTTAAATTGATGCAATACTATAATCTACAGTATGTATTCAAATTTCACCAGTTATCTCCAAAATAGCCATGTTTTCTCTGTCCACGAACATGCATCGCATTTCCTTGCCTTGTTTTTTCAATTTCTTTTAAACTGGAAACCTTTTTGGCCCTTTTCCTGTCTTTGGTGACATTGACACTCTGGACGAGTACAGGCCAGTTTTCTGTAGACTTTCCCTCCATCGGGTTATGAGACATTTCCTGAGAATGAGATTCAGTATATGCTTGTGTACTTGGCCCTGTGCTGACACGCTGATCCAGGGCCTAGAGATGCTGGCGTCTGGGACAGCCTCCACCCTTCTAACCGTGTGACCCTGGGCACGCTGCCCACCCGCCCTCAGCCCCATGCTGTCCCCTGCTGTGTGGCAGTACTGTGGAGCCAGGGAGGGTGTAGGGAGCCCGGCTGCAGCTGGCAGGCCACAGAAGGGATGAAGCAGGAGCTGGAGAGGCCGAGGGAACTGGCCTGGAGCCGGGAGAGGGCAGGAGAGGTCGAGGGCTGCCCAGGTCTGAGTCCTGACCCTCATTGCCTCCCCCCACCCCGACCACCTGTATCTGCAGTTCTTCCCCAACGGAGAGGCCATCTGCACGGGCTCAGACGATGCCTCCTGCCGCCTGTTTGACCTGCGGGCCGACCAGGAGCTGACCACCTACGCCCATGAGAGCATCATCTGCGGCATCACGTCTGTGGCCTTCTCGCTCAGTGGCCGCCTGCTCTTCGCGGGCTACGACGACTTCAACTGCAACGTGTGGGACTCCATGAAGTGCGAGCGCGTGGGTAAGAGCCTGCCCACCATGGCCACCTGGGCACCCTCTTACAGCTGCTCCCTCATTACTGGCTGACTCTGAGCTCTGCCCCTAGAGCCAGTACCCTTGGTTCCCAGTCCAGAACCATCTCCTCTCAAAGTGAAGTTGCTCTAAGCAGCCCTTCACCATGACCCACTGCAGCTGCAGCTGCTCCCCGCCAGAGGAGCTCCTTCCGGTCACCCCCAGACCTGTGGACCCGGACTGTCCAGTCAGGTTTGGGTTTCAGGGGCCTCCACAGAAGGGAAGGGCCACCTTGGGGACTCTGCAGTGACAAGAGTCCAGGGAATGGGATGTGACTTGAGGGTCCTGACTCCAACCTGGGTGATTCTCTGGGACTGGCCTGGTCTGAAGTTGAATCAGACAGTGTGGCTTCCTCTCTCGGGAGAGGCCGGGTGCCCAGGGAGGAGAACCCTGGCCAGAGTCAGGATCCAGACCTTAATTCCACTGTTTACTGTCTGAGTGCTCTTGGCCGAGTCACTTGTCTTGGGGCCTGTCTCCATTTGGAAGCCCCCCTTCCCTGTTTTCCCAGTCAAGGTGCCCTTGCTTTTCTCTCAGCAGCTGACACATGTCCAACCCTCCCGTCCCTCACCCACCCCAAATCCTGGACGGGGAGATTGGCCTCGAGGGAAACCCCGCCTCTTAGGGCTAATCCGCTTTTCTCTTTTAGTCAGATGCCCCACCCCCCTAACCTCTAACCCCGGCTCCCTAACACCCGCCAGGCTGACTCCTCTCCCTTTATCAGGCATCCTCTCCGGCCATGACAACAGGGTCAGCTGCCTGGGGGTCACAGCTGATGGGATGGCTGTGGCCACCGGTTCCTGGGACAGCTTCCTCAAAATCTGGAACTGAGGAGGCTGGACAAGGGGATGTAAAAGACCATGAAGACACTCACTCAGCTGCCCCTCCCCTGCCCAGTTTCTTTAAGGTTTCTTCAAGCTTTTCTCTTCTACACCCCAGCTTTCCCCCTTTGAGGGCAGTAGGGAATATGGGGAGCATGCCTTTGGGAGGCAGCATCAGGGACTCATCAGGGGCGGGGGAACTGCCCCATCTCCTCCCAGGCCTCCCCGCTCCATGGTCCTGACAGCTTCTCCCTTCATGAGCAAGGACAATGGACCACACCCCTCCCTAACCCTAACCTTGGCAGGCCTAGCAGGCTTTGTGCCTGAGGCCGCAGGCCCTAGGATTCCTCCCCCAGAGCTACCACCTTTATCTAGACCTGGTTGGCACAGGGTGCTCGGCCCCGTGACTGTGGCTCTGACACAACTAGGGTCCTGGCCCCCTTCTCCTCCATGCTTTCTCCTTCGTCTACCTTCTTGCCTCTCCTCAAGTACCTGCAATAAAGTGTAGCGTCTTGTATGTGTGTGATGTTTGCTTCCCACCTGCTTCTCTTCTGAAAAGACACAGGTCCCACTTAAGTAATGAAGTATTATAGGTGTGGTGATAGAGCTTGGGTACCAGATATCTGCAGGCAGAAAGGTTGGAGGCAGAAGCCCAAGCCTCACGAGCAAGGCCTGAGATGGGATGGGTGGTTGGGGTGGGGTGGGATCTGCATGACAGCTCACCACCGCTCGCCTTTGGTGCCTATGAGTGTGTTTGCACAGAAAAGTTATGTTGAGAAAGAATCAGATTACAAAAGGCCTATAGAAAGCTACTCTACACCTTATCCTAAGGGCAATGGGGAAGAGTTTCGAGCAAAGTAGTAATAATCAGTGATGCTTCTTGGGAACATCGCCCTCATAGCAATGTAGGTTGATGAAATGGAGGAAGGGGGAGCCTGGAGGGAATGGAGATAAACAAGGTAGGAGGCAGCAGGCAAGAAATGTAGGACAGAGTGCGGAGGGAAGGGACGGGAAAGAGATTAAAGATATAGAGTCACCAGGAGGAAGTGAACAAGAGCTAGGATATGGGATACTCAGAGGGGAAGATTTGAGATGATAGCCAAGGTAGGGTTTGGCAACCGGGTGGAGAGTGCTGTCATTCACAGGGTGAGAGGAGGAGGAGAAACTTTGGGGGAAGAACACACATTCAACTTCAGACAAGTTGACTCTGAAGTGCCTCTGAGGCAGCTGAATGAAGGTGAGGGTTAGGTACAGAGAACTGGATGTTACCAGAAATCGGGTGAAGGACAGCTGAAGCCCCAGAAGTGGGGGGAGGGGTGGTGGTGGGATGAATTGGGAGATTGGAATTGACATATATACACTAAGATCAAACCAGTCAATCCTAAAGGAAATCAACCCTGAATATTCATTGAAAGGACTGATGCTGAAGCTGAAGCTCCAATACTTTGGCCACCTGATGTGAAGAGCTGACTTACTTTCCCTAAAGCTGGGAAAGGTTGATGGTAGGAGGAAAAGGGAATGACAGAGGATGAGATGGTTGAACGGCATCGCCGACTCAACAGACATGAGTTTGAGCAAGCTCCAGGAGACAGTAAAGGACAGGGAAGCCTGGAGTGCTGCAGTCCACGGGTTCGCAACGAGTCAGACTTGAGCTAGCGGCCGAACAACAGCAATGTATAAAATAGGGAACTAATGAGAACCTACTGTATAGCACAGGGAACTCCACTCAGTGCTCTGTGGTGACCTAAATGGTAAGAAAATCCAAGGAAGAGGGGATATATGTATATGTATGGCTGATTCACTTTGTTTTACAGCAGAAACTGACATGGCAGTGTAAAGCAACTATACTCCCATTACCAAAAAAAAAAAAGGCCCCAGAAGTAAACATCCAGGGACAGCAAGGGGAAAGGGCCAAGGACAGCACCCTGGGGAACACTAGGATTTAGGGGAGGTGTGTAGATGAGGCTTGGAGGTACCAGCATGGGGACAGTCAGGCCAGGGAACACAAGCCCCCTCCACGCGTTCTGCAGACAGGAGACCCAGTGCACGGTTTAGGTACAACACTTAAAAATATAACTTAAAATCACTTGCTTTAATATACAGAAATACATCAGACACAAAGAAAACCAACGAAGCTCTGAGTCCCAGAGTTGGCAGTTTAGGGGGAGTTAAGAGAATGAGAATGAACCTTTCCAGTCTCCCAGGGCAAGAAGGGGCAGGAGGACACAGAATGGCCAGGCCCTTGGGGAGTCTGGTGCTGAAGCCATGCATGGTCTAGCTCTCCACCAAAGGAAAGTGCTGATTTTCCTTGTCATGACCCTGGCCTTGCTCCCATGCTGGTCCTCCAGTTTTCAGAGGTCGTCCAGTTCCCAGGATGGCCCCTTCCTTTAGTTCCCTCAAGTTTTCACTCAGGGAAGGCTGCTTACCCTGCAAAAGGCATTGGGCAAGGTGAGGGAGGGCAGGAGGCTGTTCAGGGGACCGAAGACCGGGTGGGGAAAAGGCCCCTATCTTTACTCTGGGTCTCCTAGTAACAGCTTTTACCCGCTTGCCCTTTACCTGTCGTGGGGTCAGAGTCCCGGGGGAGTTGTCATCCTGCAGGACGGTGAGAGGAGATCTCCCTGGAACCTTCTTGCTTGCTTTCCGCCTGCTGCACTTAGAACCTGCGCAGGAGACACAAGAGACACGGGTTTGATCCCTGGGTTGGGACGATCCTTTGAAAGAGGGCATGGCAACCCACTCCAGTATTCTTGCCTGGAGAATCCCATGGACAGAGAAGTCTAGCAGGCTACAGTCCACAGGGTCGAAAAGAGTCAGACACGACATAAGTGAATTAACACACACACACACATACACGCACAGGCACACTTAGGACCTCAGGTGAGTAAGGAATTAAAACAAGCAGCCAAGGTTAGGGGCTTTCAGGTTATTCCTCCTCCGTCCACCTGTGGACGTTATCCCAGAGTGTTCTCCCAAGTGCTCTTCCCCATCCTGTGCCCTTAGATTCTGTACCTGAAGATCGAGGAGTCTCGGGGTCTCGTAAGGGCTTGTCTGAGCCCTGGCTGGCCACAGGTGTTTCTGAGGCATGTCCTGTTTTCTCCCTGGCAAACACCTGCTCAGCAGGGAGTTCAGTCTGGCTCCCAGGAGGCACCTGGTCTTCAAGGGAAACCTGGGTGCCCAGAGACAAGTCCAGTCGAGGAGATGAAGGTGTCTCTCGGGGCAGAATAGCCTCGGGCGGAAGGCTTAATTTGGGGTCTTCGGTCTCAAATACATCACTCAATTGTTTCACCAGTGGACTTGGGGGCTCTGGGGAAGGGAGAAGTGATATGACATAGTGATCATCTGTCACAAATCATTCAGCAAGGAGGAAGGGATACATGGGCCTTAGGATTCGCATCCTGGTCAGTGAGGGATCGGGAGAAGAGGAGTCACTGAGAGACAGCAGTGTTGAGAAAAGAAGGATGTGGGTTCAAAGCAGGAGGATGACAGCATTAGGCCCAACACTTACCTCCGCTCGTCTTCATAGGTGTCCGTGCAATGCCAAGGGTAGGGGAGCGGGGATCTGAGTCCTGGGCCAGTTTAGGTTCCTCCACTTGCTCCCCTGCCAGCAGGCTTGGCTGTGGGGAGCTCTCTACCTGTCAGGACCAAAGGCTAGAACGAGTCTGGGCCCTCAACTCTCCTCTCCCAGGTCTGTAGCCTTAGATCCATACTGCAGAAGGGAATTGCAAAGGCCCTCAGACATTCAGCCTACTTCACCAGGATTGAGAATATGGAAAATAAGGCCTCAAAGGCGAGGGGTACTGGGGGAAGGGAGAGTTCTCAGATTAGGCAGCGACTCCGAAACTGAGACAGATTCGCTGCCTCCTCCACGCCACCCTGTGTACCTGGATGGGAGTGCGCAGGATGCCGGCGCTGGGTGATCGGGGGTCCGCCACTCGAGACAGAAGCTTGTTGTGCGGCGGAGGCCGCGCTGGAGTGACGGGGACGCTCTTAACTGAGCCCATCGCAACCAGCAGAAATAGGATGGGGCAGGGCCCGGCCCGGGAGAGGAGGGGATGCCTGCGAGAAATGACTCAGGTCTCAGCCCTTACGGCGACCACGTTCGACCTTTGACTCCAGACCACCCAATCTCCCCCCTGTTCCCCGCTGAGAAACTGCCTGGCCGCCGGGCCAGAGGTCTCTGCGGGGATGATGACTAATACAGTAGACAAGGCAACTCCTTCAGGGCCTGCTGGGCCCTCTAAATTATTCACTATTTATTCAAATCCCTTACCGGGCCCCAATTCCACCTCTGGGTGTAAAGCGGCTCAATCCTCAACTCCCGAAGCTGAGTTTCAAACTTCCCGCCACGCCCCTGCCCCGACCCTATTGGCTGAACCGATGCGGGCTCCTATAGGCCCTCTCTGTGAGTACCGCCTCTAATGAAGGAAGCCATTGGGCTGCGTGAACGTCTATCATGGGCCCGTGGGGCCAACAGGCAGCGGTTTGACTCGCTGGGGTGACGCCTCCTTGCTAAGGGGACTTCTGTTCCGTACCCGGCTGCAGGTTGTGAGATTTTGCGGGATGCTAATCTTCGCGTTAAGAGACCTTCGGTTTCAAAATGAAGTGATTTTATTAAAAAATAGAATCATGAGTTAGTACGCTATTATTTACATATCCCGCTGGAGACGGAGTTACGAACATTTTTTTCCTAAGGCCAGAAAGATAGTAATCCTCATTGGTCGACGTAGTTAGCAATCACTCAACACTAACCCTCTAGAACCCCGCCTCATTGGACAGCCCATTTTCAAATACCAAGACTACAGCTGCCCTTTAATTTTCCCATTGGACAGGTCTCCCAGGAAAGTTTCTGGGATTGACTGGTTTAAACAACCATCAGTTTCTGCTCTTCAGTAGAAGATACGCGAATGCACTGTAAAGTCCCAGAGTCTCGGCAGCAAAACTCCTGGGCCCACCTCGCTGATCTACGTGCGCTCTGCCCTGGAGGAGTGGGATTGGCTCTTTCGACCATCGATTGTATTAGAAGTGCTTTTCATTGGCGATGGTCAAGAGGCGGGCAGAGGGCGGAGCACTAGCGGGCAGGCTCGGTCCAACTGCCATTCTCGCGCGTCTTCCCTTCGGCGCATGCACCTAACGAGTGGTGCTCATTGGATGGAAGGGTGGGGGGGGGACTAGAAGCGGTGAGAACCGCTGTGTGTGGAAGAGCTGGTGCCGGTGTCATGGCGGAGCTGAGTGAGGAGGCGCTGCTGTCAGTATTACCGACGATCCGGGTCCCCAAGGCTGGAGACCGGGTCCACAAAGACGAGTGCGCCTTCTCCTTCGACACACCGGTAAGCCCATTCCCCACGCCCGCAGCGAGCACGACTTCCATCTCCCTGGTCATTCTGCCGGGGCCTGCAAGGCTTGGGCCACCGCCTCCCTGCGGTGCACCATGGGGCTTGTAGTCTTCCACGCTACTCATGCCGTTGCTTTGAATTCGCGCGAGCTGTCGTCTGACTACCACTCCCGAAAGCAACCGCG